TATTTTCTTACATTTATCTTCAACACAATAATTTTTACATAGCTGTAGAGCTATTCCCCACTTTTAGTAGTATAATTTCTACATAGATTTTAATCTTCATGGATAGAATGTGTCATACTTACAGTACAACACTGTATGAATTATACACATTCACGGTATGAATTATACAGTTCTTCTCCCTGTATAATCATTCATTTGAAACTGCTTCACTGATTACGGAAGTCCCTTCAGTGATGTGGACTGTTGCATAAGAGACAGTTCAGAATTGCAGCTGCAGCGATGAATTAGGAAAGTTCATGTTTGTGAGGGGCCATAGGTGCTATTTCTGACTGTATCTGTTCTAAAATATGCCCAAACGTGACACTGAGTTTTGTAGGAAGATTCTGTTCAGGTTACCCAGTACCATTAAAATGATGTGTCCTTTTCAGTATTGGTGACAGCCCTGCTAACATGTTTTGGGAAGTTCAGAGAAGAATATTCTTGATAAGCCACATTAAAAAAATCCACTGAGATAAGTGACCTGCACCACGAAATAGGAATGTCAGCACCAAATCTTCAAATGCTGTTTTCTTTTTCCACTAAAGATCTGCTTCATTAAAGCTGCTTAACTTCCTGCTTTGAAAAGAACCTGCTCCTTCTCTTGCACAATAGATCAAGCCCATTGATCCGCTTGCAGAGCGGCACTGTGGTCAACTTTAAGAAGTGTTGACCATTTAAGAGTTTCAAAAGTTCAGAAAGGATCTTTTACAGGAATTTGGATCTGCCATAGGCTATCAGCTACTTGGCAATACAAGATAGTCCTTGGGCTCTGCCTATTGGGAATGCTGAAAGGCGTCCCTGTTACCTCTACTAGGACTTGATTCCTTCTAAGTCGCTTTCAGTAGCCCAGAATCAGGATTCCGGCACCGACAGAGGCAGCGGGAACTCCTTCTCAAGCTTCCAGTGCTTCATCTTTCTCCAGCATTTTGTCATTTTGGAGACAGGATATGATTACTTGCTAGGACAAAGTAAGGGAGACCTTGCAATACTCACTAGTCTCTTTTGCTGTACTTGGTATTGGGTTGCTTCCGAGGGGCTTAAAAGGAAGTATATAAAAATCCCAGCAAAAGTTCAATGAGACTGAATAAATTAGAGGGGAAAAAAAAAAAAAAAAGCCTTCTCAAGAAATGGAAAGTGTTCCTCTGTAGAAAAAAAACAGTGTTCTCAATATTGAGTAATCTCCCAGAAAGCTCAATGGAAACAAAAACAAACAAACAAACCCCCCAAAACAGCATAATTAAAATGGAGCTGATTTTTTCAGGATATCTTCTTCGAGTTGGTGCAGTTAGTGCCTAGGATCTCGGTCTTCATCTGGGACTCCTTGACACAGTGGTAGTACGAGAATCATAGGAGGATCTGTGCTGACAAGTTAAGAGAAAAAAAACCCTAAACTTTGATGCAAACTTCAGATTAACAGAGTCCGTTTTGATGAAAACTTAATTCAAAGTCAGTTCACTCAAAATACATCAAATGAACACATTCTATGAAGCTTTAAATAGGCCTGCATTGTTTCCAAAAATGTGTTCGAAGTCACCTGCAGTTAAGGAGAAAAAAAAAAAAAGAGAGAAAGGCACACACAGGAAAAAAAAGCTACCCAAAATGTTATATATATTAGTAAAAAAAAAGGTGGGGCGTGCAGTGGGAGAGAGGGAACAGTTACAACTGATGGAGTTGCCAGGATATTTTTCCAGCAAGAATTGACCAGCTCAGCTTCATTACTAGCACCTTCTGTTTTGCACTTAAGATGACATCCAATTACTTAGAGATCTGAACACACACTTTCAAAACAAAAAATCAATCTGCATGCAATGCAGTTAAGTCCTTTCTGAACTTAAAGTGTCACAATCCAATTTGAGTGATTGCAAAGCAGATTTCAGATTACTCCCAACCTCTAGATATAGTCCCACTCATCTCCATGTACAAGCCTAGAACAGGTTTAGAAATTATTTACCTGAATCAAATTGCCTTGAATTCTTTTTAGCTCCTGATCTGTAGCTTAAGTGCAATAAAATAAAAGCATGCCCATAAAAAACTCAATGAATGTGGAGGACTGAATTCAAGTTTTTTGGGACTTCGGTATGTTAAACTATTTCAGCCAAGGATAAGACTTTATTATTATTTTTAATAAAGCTAAAAACTGCTTTGAGGTACACACTAAGTGGAAATAGTTTTTGTTTTCTCAGGAACAGAACAGTAAGTTTCTGTTTCAGAGAAGTATAAAGACATAGAAAAAAGGGAACCATGTCAGATGTCAGTAAATCTTTAAAATCAAGCCAGGAACAAAACCAATACAGCAGTAATATCTGGTTACTTAAGTCACATCCTGCTCAAACAAGAATTAAACCTGTACTTCCCTATGAATTTAGTCCAAATAATCTAGATGTCTTTACTAACACAAAGGTTCTTTTCCTAGGACAGTTGTACTTTGCCTGCTAAGAATGAGATAGCTGTAGTTAATCAGTCTAAAGAATCCACTGTTTTCGCATGTGTGTTAGAAACCAGCTTCACTGGCTTCCTGTTCACCTTGAGACACTTGTTTTTTCAATTCCTTTCCTTCCAAATCCTTTCGGAAACACAGGCCAAGTCAGTTTTTTCAGTCCACAGAACTGCAGATACCCTAGGCAAGCCACAGAGCAGCGGGCAGCATTAAGGAAGAGGCTCACAGTTAAATCTTGACTCATGCAGTTAAAGGGAACTGTGTTAGCTAAGAATTCAGATAACCCCCAGCTAAGAAATATTTCACTGGTTTATTTCCTCCTTTTTACACAAGGATCAATCGTGTTCCACGAGCGTTTATGAACAACAGTCACATGAATTCTTACTGCAGTCTTTTTATGACAGCTGCCCAAGACACTACATTGCAACATGTAGTCATCAAATTCCCATCCCCCAGCAGGAGGTTTTTCATTTGTAAGAACCATATTCAGGGAGTTTTGCAAGATATTGATGTTCTTCACGCAGATTTTGACAGTTTCATGAGTAACAAAGCCCAACAAACTGAGACTTAGTCACAAGTCTCCATTCAGAATATGCCATCCTGCAAGTTCGCTGAAATTAAGAACAGCAAGTCTGAGAATAGTAGCCAGCACTTTTTTTTTCCCCCCTCCAACTATCAAAATGTTTTAGTGATACAAAAATACAGCTTCATCCTCCCACACCAAGTTGCCAGCACGAATAGTCTGTTTTGCAAGAGCCTGGAGCGTTAGTGCCAGCAGGGCTGCATTAGCTCTTATTAGTTGAGCACAGCTGCAGAAAGCCAAGAGAAGGCACCAAAGCAGCAGCTATGCAGCTGCAGCAGCTATGGAGCTGCAGGCACAGGGCAGCAGCCTATACTCTTGCTTCGAAGTGTCAGGATATAAACACTCCTGGGTAAAAAGCATTGATTTCTAGACCAGAATATCACAGCTGTCCGTAACAATGGAGCAGAGAAAGCCTCGCACTGAACACATGCACGCGCCAGGGCAGACCCTCGCACTGAACACATGCACGCGCCAGACAAAAAAAAAGCTGTCATGCCTTACCTGCTTATCAAATGTAGGTTTTTTTTTGTTTGTTTTTTTTTTTTAATCTTCACAAATTCCAAGTTAGACCTTGAAAAAGCTAGAACTCTAATGAGGACACTCCAATCTTGAACACAGAACCTCACTCATTTCGCTCTTCACATCAATACAGTATCACTTACAATGTGGATTTCCATGCAACATACAGACTTGGAAGTGTTGTTTCCAGAGTAACTAACCTGCTTAACTTTGGCAAGGTATTTTAGATACAATATCAAGATGTTAACACCATGTTGAAGAATGTTGATATATGTATTTAGACCAGGTGCCCACAGTTTCATGGGCAGGAGTTCCAATTCACACCAAAGCTCCATAGGCAAGAAACAGTTTTATCTCCACTAGCAAGAAGAGATCTCTTTGTCCATCACACACACAACCATGTCAGAAGAGCACCCCCAGTAGCCAAAGGGAAAGCACCTGCACCACAGGTCAGGCAGAAAAAGAGGGGGAAAAAAAAAAGGCATCAGGAGCAGTTTATAGCAAAGCCATCTATTATTTCAGAGAAAAAACAGATTGAAGACAGCACACTTCTTATATGTCAGACTGGTTAGTTACTACTACGGTTGTGCATTAGAGCATTCCCACACCATTCAGTGTATTTGTATGCAAGACCAATTCTGCCCTTCAGAAAAAGGAAGGCCAAGGAATATTCTATTTTGTCACAGACGTCACCTTTACTGTTTTTTCCAAGCATGACAACTTAGATAAAAAAAAGTCAGAGCACAAAACATTTTGACGTTTCAACTGCCACCATTTGTGATCCTTCTGTGATAATGATTTATACACCGTGTTTCTGAAAACCCTCCTCCCAAACCCTAACTGGGCTTCTAAGAGCTTAACAAGAGAAAGACCAAGTCAGGAACAAGTTCAGCTCTGCCTGGTATACCCAAAGTTACAACTGCAGCTGGCAAGTTCTACAGCTCCTGCATATTCACTCAAAATCAGAAGTGGTTCTAGTCAATGCTAATTCACGTGTTCACTCAAGCCTTGCAATGCAAAAACCCTTATGCTCATTAATAGTTTAAAATGCTGTCTGGGGACACATATATTAACACACCTTACGAGTTTTACCATGCCTCTGGCTTACTGGCTACCAGGCAGACGAGGGCTAAACTTGGTTTGGCTTCAGGGGACATTCCAAGAGGCTGAAGCAAATGCAGAGGCAAGATCTAAACATGCTCCCACTGTTATGGGTGCTGGTCAAACACCTCCACCTTGAACAGCAGCCTAAGAGGCATTTCCTCCCTGCTAAGGTCATAAGCTACACACTGCTCTTGCCAGAAAAAAAGGCTTGAAAAGTTGCTGCAGCTATGAATGTACTGAAAATAGACTGTTTTCAAGGAGGAGGAGGAGCATTTCAACAGTACACATGAAAAGCTTGCATCTTTTCACTGACTTATTCACTTCACAATTACTGACAAGACTGATGTACATATTTCTGCACCTGAACTTGTAAAAGCAGATAAAATATTTAATATGTAATTTACAATGTATTTTACCAGCTTGGCATACAGGATGGACAGAGTATATCAAAGTAGTTGACAGTTATAGGCTTGTGGAAGCCCTGCAAAAATATTACTTCAGATATCTGCTAATTAAAAAAAAGGATTTGCATTTTAGAAGTGATACAATTCCATCTACCACAAAATACAAAGAGCTGCAAAAACGTATACCATTCCAACAACAATGTATATAAGTTATTAAATAATGATCTGATTTAAAAGAATATAAATGAAGCCTTTAAGTAGGTCTTTTCTACATGCATATTATTCCTCATTAAAGAAAAAAATATGTAAAAAGGCCATTGGTAATTGCTTTGTTAACCACTGTAGAAAATGCCAATTCTCTGGTCACAGACGCCACTAGTTTAGCACTTAAGGTCTCTGCAGTGTTATAAGTGATTATTTTTAAATACTGTTAATTCTATTACTCCATTGGTAGAGGATGCGTGACTTGGAATATGGCAGTCTTCATATTGAGGGCAACGATGCACAGTTTTATAGTTATCCAGAAGAACAGCACCCGCCACTGCTCTGTACTTGTGGTTCATCATCAATAATCTGTACGCCTCGCCTCGCTGTTCCCGACTGGCTGGAACCATTCCCTCTTGCTCTTTCATCCACTTGAGCAGTTTCTATCATTCCTGTAAATGAAGACATTTATTAGATAACATTCCACTGCCCTTTTTTACAGCTAAGATCTTAATCCATTTCAGTTACATACACAGATATTAAGTTCAGCAAGAGTGTCTCTCCATTTGTAGTCAGTAGTTTTCAGCTGTTACTTGGCACTGTTTAAGAAAATATTCTCAATCCTATTCCTAATAGGCCAAAGATCCAAGAGCTCTTGTATGGATCTTGTATGCTCAGATGTATTGAGATAGTGGCTTGGAAAAATAAAAGTTTTGTAATTCTGCAGTATTGGAAGCATTCACACATTGAGCTTCCACAGCTCTTCAGGTACACAAGCAGTTTGAAGAAAAACAAAACTTGATGTAAGTTTTTATGAAGGTTTTAAATTAAGGCTTTTACATGAGATTGGAAATATGCCACAAGCCTTCAGCCTTCTGTGACCGAGTGCTTCACAAATAAACTAGACATAATACCTACTTTTACAGAGGTCCAGAAACAGTTCTTCAATTCCTTTATTCTGTTTAGCTGAAGTATGATAATGTTTCGCTCCAACAGATTCAGCATACCTGTACAAATGCAGATATGGAAGAGCTTCACTGCACTGAAGGACTCAATCTTTCTAAACCACAATATTTTAAGTGAAGCAAAAAGATGATTACAACACTTTTCTCCTTCACTGAAGCTTAATCATTGTGGGCTGATTTAGCCCACAATGGAATCATCTGATAAAAATAACCATCATTCAGGAATTCAGGAAAAAAGGAAAAAAAAACACTAGGTGAAATAAAGAAAACTTGACCTCTACAAATGCATTTGCACTATGATATTGACTTGAATGAAATACAATTCTCAAATTACAATTCACTAAGGCATTCTGGGATGCAGATAGTAGAAGAACAAGGAGCAGAAGCCAGACACTGCTGGTTTATGCCTGCCATTTGCTAACAGCATCACAAGTGGAGCATAATTCTGCAATGATTGTTTCTATTAATAGATGGTAACTTACGTTTCTGCTTCTTGCACTGAAACATGCCTCTCCTTTTCCAAGTCTATTTTGTTACCTGTTAGAGACAAGTTGATCTTTCAAGTTTTTGTATTCTAAAATTAACCTAAAGAGATCCCAATCATACCCACGCTCCTCTTTTTTTTTTTTAATAGAAGCCAACACAAGAAGGACAATCCCACACTAGTCTGTTTGGTGTAGACTAAAATGACTTCGGAGGCCACCTCCCAGTCAAACATCTTCACTGGAACCTACAATTGAAGTTCTACTCATTCCCCCTACCCCCACCACCGAAGGCATGTAAACACCACATGGACTCTGAGGATTTCTGGTACGGCTATAAAAATATAATGGAGATTTAGGTTTTGCTTTGTTAAACTCAGCAACCTGCAATAACCTGTCTGTACCTTGACGAAGGTGTAGCATTAAACAGTTTTCCTTCTTTAAAACTTTGCTTTAAAGCTCCTACTTTTTCCTCAGTTGTGATTTACTGGAACTTTCAGCTCCAAGTGAATTTTAAACACGGGATTCACAATACTTTTATCCCTTCACATGCATAAGGTATCAGAGCAGTGTTTTGAAAGTGTAACTAATGAAAGAAGTGTTTCTAACTCAGCCACTAGAACCATGTACTAAAAAGGACTTACCTACTATACATAAACAGATTTCATTTCCCAACATTTTTCTTAATTCCTTAACCCAGTTTTTTACCTGCAGGGAGAACAGACATAAGTTGGTTTTCACTTTGATAAATTACTGCTTTAGACATTGCAGAACTGACCTATTTCCTTCATGAATTGAGACAGAATTGAATGGAGCAACAAATATTTAGTGAATATTCTTCAGACAGCTACACACAGCTCTAGTTCTAGTATTCAACAGGTTTTAAGCTTACAGCTGAATTAGTAACAAGTGGCTTTCATTTCTAGAATAACTGTTTTACATAACTCACCACACACTGTGCTAGACCCACTCCAAAGAACAAGTTCACTGCACTCTGCATTTATTTCTTAGGTCAGTCATGAGATTATCAACAGGAACTTACTGATACCCACTGCACTAAGCTTTTTTAAGAATGTAAATTTTCTGAGAGAACAGATGGGACAAGAATGTTGAGTGAGCTGGTAGCAAAAGGTAGCTGCGCGCTTTGTTTTCCTGCTTTGAAGTTGTATGGTCAGAGCATTAACTTTGGCGCTGCTATTTCAAGGAAATTTAAGTAGTGAGAAGATGTCACTACAAGAACCTAAAATTACTTTAGGACATCATACAGAGGTAGTTATACAATAACTTATGCAAATCTAACTCCTCTTTTTCCAAGAAAAAAAAATGTCTTGATAACACAAAACCAAGCACATTTACATCTTGCTAACAGGCCAAATCTGTCACAGTACCTTCTGAAAAGAGTCTTCATCTGTTATATCATATACTAGAATTGCTCCATTAGAATCTCTGTAGTAGATCGGCCCCAAGGCATGAAATCTTTCTTGACCTGCGGTATCCTGCAGTTGTTAAAACACATTTATTATCATTTTAAAAAAATAATAGCAGTCAAAAGACTGCTATCAGTTCCAAATTTCCCTTTAATAGGTGTATAAAATTTGACTTTGATTAACCATAAGTAATTTCTCAGAAAATTAGTCTGCTGGAGTAAAGGGAAATTATAAAAAAGCAAACATACCCATATTGCAAGATTTACTCTTTTCCCACCAATATTTAGCTTCTTAGTAAGAAAAGATGCCTGGAAAGCAAAACAGATTAATTAGAGTTCAGTTTTATACACAAGTATGTCTTATTTGACCTTAGACTAATTTAATAATAAACACATCTGAATCAATCAAGAACAGATTTTTGGATCAAAATATTTAAGACAGAAGGCTGGGTCAATACTAAGCCAGTTAGTCATTTCACTAAACATTGCCAGATGTCTTTTCTAAAGAAATCCAGCTTAGGCTTACTCTCTACTTTTTGTTGTCATTCTGAATGATTTGGGAAGGACTAGAGGAAGGCCATGCAGAAAAAGTGTAATTCAAAATATTGACATGCTCCAAGTTCAGCTTGGACTTTGCACTGGAGTATATGAAGTTGGTGGGACACATCTCAACTGCTTAGAATTTTTAATTTGCAGGAAGTGAAGTAGTTCACTATTAGCAAATTACTAAAACAAAATAGTTTCCTGCAAGTCTCAAAGCATTAGTATTTGGCAAGAAGTCCCCTGCTCTTTCCTCTGGTTTTCTGAAGTGAGCTCACAAATCTCTCTGCCACTTGTTTTATTCTAGTCTTGTTCTGCAACTTCACGATGTTCCTCTTAACTGTACCTGAGGAAAAAAAGTGTACACACAAAAGGAGAGTGTCAGGACTGGCCTGCACATAAGAGGCCTCAAAAGCAGCATAATCAAGCACATTCTTAGAGCAGCTAAATTGTCTTTTATTTGATAGGACCAGAATATATTGCAAGTTTAGCCTAATTTCAGTAACTCAAAAGGATGTCTGTTCCTCTCAGAGCCATAAACTACCTTTTCAGACACCACCTCTGTTACTACAAGTCATTTAAAGGGGATAGGGATCTAATACAAGTTTATTAAGAAGAAGCATTAGCCTTAAAGGTGATGATTAAGATGTTCTCCCATCTTGATGTCCAGCAGAAACTAGTTAACATCATTAGTCAATTCGGTTGCCAAGAGCTGCTTTTGCCTTTCTCCTAAGTTATACTGAGCCTGCCATTCAGCTTCACCTCATTTTGCATTTAGACATCAATGAGGTCATTGATCCCCAATCATTTTAGACTGGACTTTAGCAGCTCAGCAAGGCCTCTGCTTGAGCACTAATCAGGCACTGAACTAACCAAAAACCATCTCTTTGGGTGGGTGGAAAGAAAAAAAATATATGGGCCAGAACAGCTGTCAAAACCAGCCTGCCATTTAACTGCATGAGCACCAATACCCACACAGAAGCTGATGGCAGTTAGGCTTATATCAGCCTAAACCGCTGTGAAATCACCTCTCCAGAATGAGGATCTTACAACCATTCTGCCAAACCAACGTGCAGCTGGCTAGGGCAGATCCTACTCTAGTGGTACCTTCCTAACAGGAATTCTGGCGCTTGTATGACATAAGGTAAGGAACTGATTCAAAGTCTTTCATCTCCTCTTTGACATAACTTGCACCCTTTTCCCTCACGGCATTCCATAAATCTTAAAATAAATAAATAAATATATATATATATATATATAGACGCAACCAATACAGAGGACAGAACATAGATCTAAAAAACAACACACAAACTCATTTCAAGAGCAGGTAGCAGAACTGGTCCTTGGGGCCACTGTATTCAACCACCTTACAGTCTTCAGCTGGCTGGCATGAAAGTCAACATCACAAACGGTTACAGAGAGCATGTTTAAAAAAAGAATAGCATGCTATCCAACTCAAAATAAGGCAATATAGCAGCAGCAAGTCTTAAACATATGGAAAGCTTTAATGGTTTAGAGGGAAATAAAAAATTCTACACAAACTAGAATGTCTTTTAGCTAGAGGGCCTTAAGGATCCCTTGTCTGAGCAGTCTCCAGTTTTCATATCCTAGTTTGTTCTGCTACAGCCAAGTTTAAAAAACAAAAATTTACAAGTGGCTCCAAAAAGTTGTAATTCACCAACACTGGGGGAAAAGTACAGGTTAAACACATCGAATCAGCTTACTTGCCAATATTTATTGAGGCACTGTACTATAGGACTACCTACATGTGCTGCAAATCTGTGGGAGAGCTCTTCTGAGCATTATTTGCTTTCGCCTAAGTCTATGCATAGCATTTCTTACAGACTGAGGAGAGCTAAGTGTGTACGAACTGTTTTTGGACTTCTGCACCAAAAGGTAGAAAATGCTTCACAGAAACAGGGTTCATATTATACCCTTCAGAATACAGACTTTTGTGTTTCTAATGCATGGTTTTGGATATTGGCCCATAAAAGAGACACCTGCACTATTAACTGTCTGACATAACACATACAGAAGCAGATTTATACCCCTAAATAAATTTTGTTTAAATACCTCTCCTTTAGGTCACCAATGCTCCTGCTAGAAACACTGTTCTTTTAAACACCAGTAGCAGATTACTTGCTATCCTAAATACCCAAGCTTACATATATGTGAGTAGGCTTTTCAAGATCTTCTGTAAAAGAGACAGAAGACAGTGGCAAGGGCACATTAGGCTGTTGTACTTGTCCCTTGTATTAGTATGCATCAGGTTTGAGCTTAATCTAAAGTCTTAGATCCCTGGCTCAAAACACGGACAGCATTAGTATGAAGAAGTTCACAAGCAAGCTTGTATGAAAAGCTGTCTAACTAAGAAGCCTATTAACTGGTAATGAGCAGAAAACCTCAGGAAGATGCTGTGCAAACAGTCGATGCTATGTATAGTGCTTCATTCCTTTCCATTGTGTTGACGTAGCTGAAGAATGCTACTAGCAGGCTCTGCTCTCGAACTAACAGATAGGGCCAAGTTTGTCATATTTACATCTAAATAACCACTGTATTTTATAGCCGCAGTGACACACTATGCCAAAGACATAAATACACATCCGGGAAAAAAAAAAAGCATGGGATTCTTTTCCGCAGTATCCCCAGGGGAAAGTTTGTCTCACATAAGAGCAAGGTTATTACTTTTCATTCTGAAAGTCAGAGATAATCAAAAGGCTCATCAAGCAAGTGGCAAGACTTGAACCTTTTATTGAAAAAAAATGCATTAAGAAGTTTTTCAGGGTTCAAAGCATAAGGAAGACCCCTAACTACTGTTCTGGGGTAGTGAGTTTCCCCATTCAGTCCAGTTTAGAACAAAGTCTATTGCAAAGCATGTCAAAACAGTTCCAAATGATACAGTCTACACAATGTTAGTAATTAACACCCAGAAAATTCAGCATTTTCAAATGGCTACAGGCATACCAAACCACATACTGGTGGGTGAAGCATCAATTTTGACTTCCACCTTGCAGTCAGCAACTCCTTTCTATACTATATATATATACACGTATGTATATATACACACATGTGAAAAACCCTACCTAACCCAGGAGGCTACAGTTAATTCAAAAACAAGAGATCTCATACCAGCTTCAAGTAAGATACTATTTTGATCCACATAGTATGAGCAGTCTGAAGAATACTTATACACTTAGAGAAAAAGGACAATACAATTACAGGAGCTAAATACCATTCTGCTAACGAGCCTGTACAAAATCCCTGAACTTTCAAGAACTCAGCTCCACATGTGCACCACGCCCTGTTAGAGGAGGTAAAAGGACCTGAATGGAACAGGAAGATCCAGGCACAAGAGAATCTCTTGAGAGCAAATCACTGCAGAGGGACAAAGCAGCTCACTGCCATCGACCTCTTGGCTATTGTATATCAGACACAGGGACAAACCAAGCATAAGAACACTGCATAAAGCACTAAGCTGAAAAAGCAGACCAAGGAGGTCTTGCCACCCATGACAACTTTCCCAGCTAGGCAACTCCCCAAAGTAATCAGCATCAGCAATGTCTGACTGGTGCAAGAATATGACCTCTCTTGTATTGGAAATTTTGCAGGCCTTTTCATATTTCAGACATCAGGGCATCAACATTGCACTCATTTGCAGTAATATAAAAGCAGAAAGTATCTACCTAAATAAATTGACTCTCAAACTATCACTTATTACTACTGCAGTAATTCTAATATACACCACTTGACACCAGTTTAGAGCTGAGAACCATTTAAAGAATAAAACACTGACCTCAATACCTGGATCTACATGAACTAGTTCTAACTGGCCCCACCACTGATAATATAGGTTAAACTCGTGTCTTGTAGGGAGGAGGGAAAATAAAGATACACAGCTTCCTTGTGTGAGCTTCTCCACATGCTGGGTGTTTTCTTTCAGCTACGTGGCAAATCAGCAGCTTTGTTTCCATTCAAAGAGGTCCTTTGAAATATTAAGCTTATGATTTCAAGCTAATCTAACATGTCCTAGCAGCTTCCTAACCTTTGCCTAATAGTTCCTGTCTATATAAGGAAGCTCCAAATCTTAGTTTCCATCTAGCTGGGCGGGGAGGGCAGCGGGGGGGAGGCGCAGAGCAGGCAGTTCCCTGTCACTAGTACTCATGTGCTATGAGCACTGGGTGGGGGGTCCTATTTGTGCTACACAGATTAACCTCACAATTAAAAACACGCTGAAGTGTTAAAATTCCAGTGGAAAAGCAGAGATACCCATCAGCAAGAAGATTCACACTGCCCACTTTAAGGCCTTCCGGTGCTCTCTCCCTTGAAAGGGAAGGCACCTCTAGGCCACATTCCCTGCCAGGCAGCATCACCAAATTAACCTCTCAGATTTGCGGGCCCCACCATACTGCTTTTTGTTGTAAGCGCATTGGGATAAAGCACAATGCAGAGCTGCTTTCGCTTTTCTAAAGCACAAAGTACTGTGGGCAAGAGCTACTTGCCCCACTATCTGGCTCATCACTGTGAGTCCTTGGCTGAATCAGGAACTAAATATTTATCTAATTTTGACTTTGTTAGAACAAGAGTCACTTGCTGAAATACTTTTAACCGGTGTCATGAAACAAAGCCACTTCACCAGATTAAGTCCTTTTAAAAAAAAAAAGAAAAAAAAAAGGTAAAATAAAAAGTATGTCTTGCAGGAAAAAAAAAAAAAAAATCACACCATTGCTTAGTCACATGTTATAGTTTCTCCCTGCCTTACTAAGGGATGTTTTAACTTGCCAGTGGAAGTATATATGACTTACTAGACCTTTCTTCTACTATTGTAGAAGAAACAAAAACAATAATATGCACTTTTGGATTATTATCATTTGGTATACTAAGATTCAACAGCAACTGAGACACAATAGAAAAGCAAAGAGAACTGAAAAACACAGTGCAATAAATTAAAAATAGCTTTATCACTTGACTATCAACATTGAGGTAGCAAACAAGAGCCAAATTGCAGTAGTGACAAAACTTCTATTTCAAGCACCAGCACGTGTTTCCACTCCTTTACAAGCAATCCTCACGGTCCAAGACTGTCCAAAACAAGGAAGCTCCCAAGCCAAAGCATCTAGAGAGGCTTTTTACTGGCAGCATTTCATTGACCTGCCATTTAAAGCTCCATTTTATGACATCTGTGAAATAGGTCTGTATTCCAACTCATTTTTTTGCTTTTGTTTTTAAATCTTCCACTAATGATTTCACCAAAATGACTAACTAGTGGTAGTGGTTAATAGACAAGCAGCATTCATCCCAGCTTCTGCTTGGGATGTCAAAATGCACAGACCATTTCAATACACTCTTAAAAATTCTTGTTTGCTTGATGCTGCAGCTCAGGTGAAAATCACAACTGTATCCCAACGCCTGTAAGCTACTAGATACTTTAGCCATGTGAAGTATCATTTACCTCTATGGCAATCAGAGCTGCAATTAGCCTGCCAGAAATATCACACCATATGCCTCATGCCTAGTAAACCTACCAACAGATCTTTCCAACTCCAGAATATGAACATATGCTAATAAAGTTTAAAATATGTTCTTTTTTGCTATTTAGTGGCAAAAGAAAGAGCAACTGTATTTGCTAATGAAACATTCATCATATCGTTTCCAGCACATCCCCCAATGCTCCTTTTGTTTTAAAGGAAAGCTTCACCATTAAGCACACTTCCAAGCTACCCGGCCCCACAAAGATCTTTCAAAAAGGTACATGAATAGCTCACATCCACCTTGAGGCTTTCTGCCTCGACCACCTATTTATTCTATACTCCACATTCGAGAATTTAAAAGGCAGTTCCAAAACCCCCAGGGGCCCACATGGTGGCAGGATTTGTTCCTTTACTTAAATAGCATTTATTATGAATAGCTTGCATTACAGCTTTAACCAATCTGGTCACAACTACTAAGAAAACCTGCTGCATAATTGCAGATAAAAGGTTACATGAGCAGAGGCAGTCCACCATACAAACTTCATGTACAAGCCCTGATGCAAAGTTTAAAACATGGTTTCTAAGACCTCTACAGTCACACAAGTATTTGCTTTGGAGATTTTGCTTTTTAACACTACAAACATGCCATATCAAGACAGTAGATAGTGCAGAATCACAAACATTTTCAAGCAGACACCGTCTCTCACATTCCTGACTGGAACAGCACTTTCCAGGTGCTTGTAACTAAGCTGACAGCATCACTGAGAACCAGTCCAAAATCCAAGCAAATAATGTGACAAGCAAATAAGTATTCAGAGGCTTTTTTTTTCTTGTGTATGAAACCTGAAAAAACATACCATGATCTTGTAATTTATAGAAGGTATTTTATAGAAATGATTTTTAGTAGCTCTTCTCAAAGACTAGCACCAAGGCTCTGAACACTAGGCAGTCTATAATTATCAGAAGTGGAGCACGTATGAAACACTTAGTCATCAGTCCACTGCTGACGATTACAATAACAACATTAGTTTCAAATCACACTTCCACCTCCCAACATTCAAAAGAACATATTCATACACATAACTGAAAAAAAAAAGTTAGTGTTAAGAATAGAAGAGAGTTATTTATGCACTGCAAGCTTAGATCTGAGGGGTTTTAAAACAAAATAAGGCCTCCAGCACAGTCAGCTGAGGACGGCCACCATTTACAGAGTGGCACCGGTCACGCCAGCTACGCTGAAACCGTAAAGGCGACGGTTCAACAGCAACACGGAGAGCCCCGGTGCTGAGCGCGGCTCCTCGTAACGAGCCCCGGGGCGGCCACAGGGCCACGGGGGGGAGCCCGGGGGGCGGCGCGGCTCGCACCTGCAGCGTGGTGATACAGTCAGCTGAGGACGGCCACCATTTACAGAGTGGCACCGGTCACGCCAGCTACGCTGAAACCGTAAAGGCGACGGTTCAACAGCAACACGGAGAGCCCCGGTGCTGAGCGCGGCTCCTCGTAACGAGCCCCGGGGCGGCCACAGGGCCACGGGGGGGAGCCCGGGGGGCGGCGCGGCTCGCACCTGCAGCGTGGTGATGTGCTTGTCGTTGAACTTGTTCTCGCAGTAGCGCAGCACGAGCGAGGTTTTGCCCACGCAGCCCTCGCCGAGCAGCACCACCTTGAAGGAGAAGCTGCGGCCCCCGGCGGCC